GGGAAGTGTGGGTTCTGTGTTGGAGGCACTAGGGCAGGGGTGGGCAAACTTTTTGACTCGAGGGCCACAATGGGTTCTTAAACTGGACCGGAGGGCCGGAACAAAAGCATGGATGGAGTGTTTGTGTGAACTAATATAAATTCAAAGTAAACATCATTACATAAAAGGGTACGGTCTTTTTTTTCAATAGTTTTATTCATTTCAAATGGGCCGGATTCGGCCCGCGGGTCGTAGTTTGCCCACGGCTGCACTAGGGACTAGGGCGGGCAAGGGGCACAGCGGAGGGCCCTGCTCTGTGCTCTGTTGGTTTCTGAGCTCTCATTGAGCACTTGCTCTGTGTGAGGCCTCGTGCCAACCTTGGGCATGGGAAAGTAAGATACTGTTCTTGCTTTCAAAGGGCTCACTGTTGGGGAATCCTGTTCTTGTACCTCACTTCCCTTCAGACTTCTTAGATGCTGCTCATCATGCAGACTCTTGCTATTACTCTTTGTAGCCTCAGACACAGAGCCGCAGAGGGAGGCTTACCTTTGGCCCTCTACTTTTTGCCGGGCTCCTTGCACTCACTCCTATCCCCACGCCCACCCTGTCTTGTTCAAATTGTCTTCTCTTTCCACTTCTTGCCTCTCTACCTCTATCCTCCTCGCTTGCTTCCCTCTCTTCCCCTTCAGTCATCACCATTTTCATCTGAATTTTTCTGCCCTGATGGTAGCCTTTCCTGGTCAGCACTGTCATGTTATACCGGCATCTCTTATCCTGCGGCTGTTTTTCATGCTTGAGCTGGAGTCCTGGACCGAGCCTGAGGTGAAGCGATGACGCATGTCTCTCATCTGAAATGTTGGGAATGGCCCAGATGCCACGCTGCTCTTTCTACCTGGGAACTTGGTGATGCTCTTTTACTTTGACATTATAAGGTCTAGTGATGGGTACCAAGTGTTGAAAAGGGTTATGTGGGGGTGATGTGCTTTCTTTTTTGAACGTTCACATTGGCCTGCTGAGGATGTCGATTGGACTCTCAGGAGGAAGGACTGAGCATCTCTGCCCAGCAAGAGTGGCTGCTGCCCTGCAGCCTGTTTGCTGCCTCGTGCGTCTTGGCAGAGCTGCTTTGACTGTTGTATCTTCTTTCACAGCCATGGTTTTGGTTTATCCTGCGCTCTCCCCCTGAGGTCCCTTCCAGCTCTGAAATGCTTCCAGTCCGTTTTCCCTCACCATCCATCCTCCTTGTCTTGGGTCACCAGTGCTGTGATCTGGTGAAATCTCAAAGACACTAGCAAGATGGCTGCGTTAGAGAATTTTTTAAATGCACGTCTGTTACTTCCAAGTACATCGAATGTCATTGTGGGCGGCACAGGTAAACCAGAGCTATGACTGTAGGGCTGGTTAGCAAGTTGCTGTTGTTTTGGAAAGAATTCAGTGAGTGTTCAATTAGAAGTGAAAAATGACTCGGGAGTCTTTGTTGTGGGTGGTGCTGAGGTGGATAGGCAGCCCTTTCTGAAATGACTATAAATGAGGAATTGCGGGCTTCAAGTCAACTAGAACTTCTTGTATTTAAGAGTGTTTTGTGTTGTTGTTCTTTTAAATATATTTTATTGATTTCAGAGAAGAAGGGAGAGAGGTAGAAACATCAATGATGAGAAAGAGTCATTGAGTGGCTGCCTCCTGCATGCCCCCCACTGGGGATTGAGCCCACATCCCGGCATGTGCCCTGACTGGAATTGAGCCGTGACTTTTCCTGGTTCTTAGGTTGACGCTCAACCACTGAGCCACGCCAGCTGAGCCAAGAGTGGTTTTTTAAATGGCATCTGTAACGTGGTCTTCAGTTCCCAGCAAAAGCATCTTAGACCTACTAGAAATGGGATGAAACTAATTATCCCTGGAAATGTGCTCAGAAGTTGCCATACCTGTTCAAAACATCATGTGAAGTGCCAGGTCCATTTTTTTTTTTTAAGTATACAGGTTAATACCTTCACTATATTCGCAGCCTTATGCAGTAATCACCACTATATAATTCCACAACATTTGATCACTTGAAAAAGGAACCCGTGGGCAGTCACACTCCATTTCTCCCAGCCTTTGGCGACCACTGTTCTACCTCCCGTGTTTGTAAGTCTTGCCTGTCCTCACCTTGCCCAAACCCCTGCCGTCCTCCCCAGGCCTGGGTATGTAGGGGCAACACCTACCCAGTGTTCTGGCTCCAGAGCGGATACTGGCCCTCCCCAGAGTGCACAGCCAACACCCCTGTGCTAAAGGCTCAGACATAACACAGGGAATTGAACAGACTCATGTAAAACTAAAATACCTGCTGCAAGAACAGGCAGCTTGCTCTGTGGGGCTCTCAAGCTCACCATCCTAACTTGAACCCGTTCCCAGGTCCTTTATTTAATCCACGTTTCCGGTTTGCTGTGATGAGGAATGGACAAAGTCAAATTGTGTATCCAGTGCTTCCTTAGTCTTCTCTGTAGCACAGAGATTATGTGGGTTACCTTTTTGTTCCAGGTGCATGTGGGATGGGAAGGGGCAGCTGGGAAGCAGGCTGGGGTATAGCATGCTTAACTTGATTATCTTTTGTTTTACTACAGTGTATTTAGGACTGAACGTCAAGCATTCAAATCTAGCACTGACTGGCACTTTCTATGTTCTGTGCTGTCCAGTGCAGTAGCCACTAGCAACATGTGGACATTGATGACTAGAGACACGTGGCTAGGGTGACTGAGGGACTGAGTTTTTGTTTTATTTAATTTTAATTAATCTTTAAATCTAAATATACTCGTGTGGTTACTGGCTTGTCAAATTGGACACGATAGCTGTGATAAACCAGCGATTTCTGGTATATAGTCAATGTTACCGTAGGACAGCGATTTTCAACTGGTGTGCCGCAAGAATTCTTAAAACATGCAATACCTGCCCTAGCTGGTTGCTCAGTGGTTAGAGCATGAGCATTGGCCCTTGGGTTGAAGGGTCATGGGTTTGACTATGGTCAAGGTCACGTACCTTGATTGCAGGCTCGATCCCTGGGCCTGGTTGGGACTCGTGAGAGGCAACCAATCAATGTGTCTCTCTCATATCCATGTTTCTCTCTCTGTCTTCCTCTCCCTTCCATTCTCCTTAAAAATCAATGGGAAAAATATCCTCCCGTGAGGATTAACAAAAAAGAAAACAAAACATGCAATTCCTATTTAGTTAGTGACAACAGCCAACACAATAGCTGTGCTGTATGAATGAATCAAAATTATACCTATTTTTTTTTGTCAGATCAGCACAAAGATATATTTTTTGGTGTGCCGCAGAATTTTAGTAATTAGTTTATGTGTGTCATGAGATGGAAAAGGTTGAAAATCCCTGCCTAGCAAGTTAGCCCATCCGTGGCTAAACTGGCACACCTTTCCATACAAGGTCGCAAACAAGTAATTCTCTCAGCATGTATGAAAATACATTCCTCTTCCTGAAAGCTGTCTGATGGGACTGGCTGCTTTGGGGCATTCCCTATTTTGCCATCACATTTATGGTGCACGTATTGAAGAGTGTGACAGTGGAGAGTCACTCTGCTCCCCACTGCTCCCCAGGCAGCCCCGGCACCAATGTCCTGTGTTTTTTCCAAGGATAGTCTTTGAAAACTTGCATCAACAGGCTTTAAATTTTTCATTACTTTTATTTCTGATGATTTTTGTATGTGTGTGTGTGAAACTGCTTGCCTTTCATTCATCCTTTGGGGTAGACCCCTGTCTAGGGAGTGAGAGAAACATGGCCCCAGTCTGCATGTCGCTGGCCAGGGACGGCCCACCGATTGACCAAGAAGTGAATCTCAGTGGAAAAGCTTTGATTATCTCATTTCAAAAAACATCTTGACAATAATCTGCGTTTGTTTGGCTTCTGCTTTTTAAAGCACTTTCACTTTTATGGTTTTACTCTCGTTCAGAGTTTGAAGGTTTCTCCCATTTGGTAGTCCTGCAGTTCTATAGAAAGAAAATGCTGGTTATCACAGGGGTATTCTGGGAAGTCCTCCTCCCTCTGAGAGGAAGGAACTAGAAGGGTGGGAGCATTTGGTTAGGTCATAAAATTTTTTTATCTGTGACCTTTAACTCTCCTTTATTGCCTCCATTGTCCTAGAGTACAGAGTTCTGGGTTTACTGCACAGCATGGAAGCCCTGTGTTGTACTTGATGGCACTTTCCCCTTCAGCATGCTTCTTAAGGTCTCATCTTGAGATTAGTAACTGATGCTTTGAAAGCGTTTGTGAAGTGCTCGCTTCGGCAGCACATATACTAAAATTGGAACGATACAGAGAAGATTAGCATGGCCCCTGCGCAAGGATGACACGCAAATTCGTGAAGCGTTCCATATTTTTTTTTAGATATATTTTGTTTCTGTCATTAAAAATCCAAAAAAAATGCGTTTGTGAATTTGTAGTCACTCAACACCAGATTTTGCTGGTGGTAATTGACAAGAAAAGAGTTTTAAGACTTCATTTGGTGGTCAAATTATCTTTAATTGAAATTTTTTTTTCTTTGTAATTCTTAACTAGCTGAGCATTCCACTGCACCACTGTTGATATCATCTATGATGTCATGAGGGTGGTGGCCATCAGCAACTGGGCAGTCCCCAAGATCTCTCTAATGGTCCCAGAGAGTTCTCTAGCTAAAGACCAGTGCTGCACCTGTCAGGCAGTGTTGACAACCTCATCAGAAGTGACATTTTCACTGCGCTTAATGTTTGGGGGGTTTTTTCTCTTCTTTCTGTCTCTCGATCGTTCTTTGAGGGCTTTGATAATCAGGGCAGAGGCAGAAGATACTGCCTCAATCTGGGCCTGTCTGTTCTGAATGATCAATTCCACTGTAATCCTCAGACCCTTCCAACCATCCGTTGCTTTGGTGATGTCATCACAGTTGTTTTTGGAGACAGTCCCAGGGGCTGATCTTGGGAGCCAGGGCAGATGTGGCACCGACTTCTCCACTGGTGCACCTAAGGTATATGACTTTGATTTTGTTGGGGGTTGTACATGGCGGCATGGTGGAGGCGGCTGGTGTCAGGTGAACCCAGATTCTGGACCACCAAAGAAATTTGCACCTAGGCCTCCTCCAAGCCAAAGCTGTAAAGACTTTATCGATATTTAGGGGTCACATGATCAAATTTTTTTAAAGTACTGATTATATCTAAAAGAAAGCAGTTTTTTTCACATTCATTTAAATATTGTCTTGAGTTTGAAACTTCAATTTGTTTTTGTTTGTTTTTTAAAAAAGAATTTTTTCAGCCAAACCCTCATTTGAAAAAGACACTATGAAATATGTTTGATTTCAGTTCACAGAGGGGAAAGAACTGTATACCTCCATCGTGGACATATCATTGTGCTCTTTAAATGATTCTACCTGAATGTTCTTTCTTCCTTTTTTTCACTAAAAACATATGAAAGAGTCACAGGTCAGGTCAGGATGATGTCATTACTGAACAGCCCCATTAGGCACACAGCAGGTCCCAGGTGCTGTCCCACTATAGCCTGTGATTGAGGAACGTGGAGTGGGACCTCAAGTGGATCCTCAGGCCATGGGGCCTTCCCAAGCCCCTCCAGCGTTTTGGAGCAGATCACTGTATAGTTCTCTCTCTCAAAGGAGCTGATGGTGGTGGATCATCATCCGGAAATGGGCCTGGGGTTGCCCCTGCTGCCCCTGCAGGGGCCTCTCGCTCCTCCTCCCGGAACTTAGGATCTTCTGGCGGTGAGAAGGAAGAAGGCAAAAAGGTCCGGCGACAGTGGGAGTCGTGGAGTACCGAGGACAAGAACACTTTCTTTGAGGGGCTGTACGAGGTAAGTGAGTTACAGGACCAGAAAGGGCCATTCAAACGCCTGGCTTCTTATCACTTGTATTCCTCTTTCAGTTTCCCTTTGCCTTTTTACCACATGGCTACTCGATCTACTAGGTCAGCAGTTCCAGTGGGGAGCCCCAATGTGACTGACAGGTGTGAGTCGCCAGGGCTGAGGCCTCACCCTCCGACCGTGGCCTTTTATCGCTTCGTTGTGACTTTAAAAGCTGTTCTAGAGAGGTGGCTGTTGGGAACTTTCTTTATATGTTTCTCTTTTCTCAGATTCTACCCATTGTCTCTCAGCCATACCCTTGAGTGCCGACTGGTACCATTCTCTATCGGCCTTCCCCTTGTAGCTGAGTGGGCCAATCAGGAGGGGCGTTCTCTGAGGGGGAAGGGCAAGGGGACACTTGGCCACGTCCGTCAGAGCAGCCACTTCAGTCCCAAAAGCTGACCTGGGACAGATGTAAAGTCCTAAAGATAGAGAAAAGCTGCTCCTGGTCCCACAGCTCAAAGAAATGGCCATCTCCCTGCCAGCCATTTTACTTTCATGTTTTGTTTTGTTTTCAAATCTTTGTAATTATAAGTAAACATGCTTTTTTTTATTGTCAAATGCATTGATATGATGTTTCATAGTTCTTTTTGTTCAGTGCTTTTCTCATGCCTATAAATATTCTACTCTCAGGTGTAGGCAAATTTATGGTCTTTGTGTTTTCTGTCTGCGTTTGTAAATAAAGCTTTATTAGAACACAGCATTGCCTATTTATTTGAATATTGTCTCTGGCCAATTTTGACTGCGGTGGCAGAGTTGAGCAGTTATGACAGATACTGTGAGTGGCCTACAACATTTGAGTGTTAACCTTCTGGCCAAACGTTGCTCCAGTTAACCATTGTGTTGTTGCTGTTCCACATTCTGTATAAATAACAGTACAGTGAGTATCTTTGTGCACACACCGTATTTTAGGATATCGCTTGGGGCTATGGTAAGTTGGTTCAGTCGGTGACCCTTATTCTTTTTTTTTTCTTTTATATTTATTAATTTGAGAGAGAGAATGATTTGTTGTTCCACTTGTTTATGCATTCATTGGTTGATTCTTGTATGTGCCCTGACCGGGGAGTGAATCCACAACCTTGGCTTATCAGGACAATGTTCCAACCAACAGAGCTACCCTGCCAGGGCAACCCTTATTCTTGTAATAGTGAAGGAATTGGAGTGATAGAAAAGTCTGGCCACACCTGTGAAACAGTTTTATAAAGGAAGGAGGCTTTGAAATTGAAACCATGAAGTGCTCATAGACCAGAAAAGGAGACTCCTAAGTGGAGGCAGAGAACTAGAACTGGGTGCCAATTTCTGAACATTCCTGGGGCCGATGGTGCAGTTTGCCGGTCCGGATGGAGGAGGCCCGCGTGTTGGTATCATTGACTCAGTTGTCCAGGAAGAGGAGGAAGTATATACACAGACTTGTTCTAGTTGGTGCAGAGTCATTCAAATAAATTCAAATGTGTTCTTTTTTTTTCCCTTTGACAATTTTAGAGTGAAGTAGAGGCTGTTTTTGTATAGATTATGTCCCTAAATTGCCTACTTTAAGCTTTCTGTTAGGCATAGAAGACTTGTGATTCCTGGAATGTTCCTAGAATAGCAACCATTGCTGATGCCAAGTTGAGACAGTTTCTGCTTTAATGTGGTCCTTCCCTCTTGGGCTCTACAGGGTGATCAGCTATGGTTGTCAATTAAAAGTAGGAGGGGAAGAATTCCCAATGACCTGCTCTTACTTTTTTTCAGGTGGATTAGTTCATTCTCTTTTCACTGGGCTAGCCTTCTTCTTTTAATTTTCCTACTGGGCAGGTGTTTCTTTTGAGGTTACCTGAATCCCTTTTTTTTTTCCATTTAAGCCAAGTTTTATTTTTTATTTTTATTTCTTTTTTAGTTTTATTGCTTAAAGTATTACAAAGGGTATTACATATGTCTCCTTTTTTACCCCGCCCTTGACAATCCCCTGGCCTTCCCTACCCCCCAGTGTCTTATGTCCATTGGTTATGCTTATATGCATGCATACAAGTCCTTCGGTTGATCTCTTACCCCCGCCTTCTGCCCCCCTACCCTCCTACTGAATCCCTTGATTAATAGTAATAATTGGCTGTTCTGATCACTTAGTGCTTTCCACTATATGTATGCCAAATAGTGTGAGAGTGTTTGTGTTAGTGTTTGTATGTGTATTTGGTGTATGGGGGTGAGAGTGACAGAAAGAGAGAGAATATGATTGCTGGCTTTATGTGTGTCATTTTGTGTGTTTGACCAAAACTCAGGGCTCTGTTGGGATCTTGCTGTATGCTGATTAGCTGGGGCATATAGGACCATGAACATCTTGAACTACAAGGCATGGAGGTAAAGGCCTCTGCTTTGTGAGTGTCACTTCTGCAGTGTTTGTCCAGCTTGTCATTGCCTTTTTTATACGCACAAGCCTGACTTAGCTATGCTTCAGGCGACAGAGACCTAGCTCAGCGCAGCAGCAGGAGACAAGGCGAGTGATTGAGTGGCTTTCCTGACTGGGAGGGACAAGGAGGGGCTGGCTCAAGCTGGCAGTGTCATCTGTCCTCTGACATCTTGCATTGGGGGTGACATTTCTGTGCTTATTCTTTCCCTTTCAGATACTCCCCAGAGGCAAGACATCCACCCCCACCCCTATTACAGTTAAGACTGTTCTGAGGAGGATCCAGATTGGCTGAGCCCATCCTAGACTCCTCTCTGTGGCCAGGGTCATGGTCATGGTCATGGTCATGGCCCCCATGACAGAGAACAGATCAGGGCGAATGCCTAGAACCACATCATCGTCCTTGACATCCTCTTACTCCATTTCAACGGCAGTTCTTCACAGAGCCTATTGTCGGCTTTCCGTTTTCCCTTCTTATGTCTGTCTGACTGTATTTGCTTCTGCGGTACAATTCTTACTTATAAGGCCAGTACCCTGTGCTGCTTTTTTAAATATATTTTTATTTATTTCAGAGAGGAAGGGAGAGAGAGATAGAAACATCAGTGATGAGAGAGAATCATTGATTGGCTGCACACGCCCTACTGGGGATTGAGCCGGCAACCCGGGCATGTGCCCTTCACCGGAATCGACCCTGGACCCTTCAGTCCACAGGCCGACATTCTATCCACTGAGCCAAACTGGCTAGGGCTACCCTGTGCTTCTTGATCACCAGGTTATAACTGCTGAAAACCTCATCTAAGTGAACTCTGTGGTCATGCTAGAAATGCTTGGAAGCACCCAGGAGAGGCCGAACTGTCTCGGGCCTCTTATTGATAGGCATGGGGCATGCTGATGTCAGCTGCTGCTTGATTGAGAGCTTATAGGGAAATCTGAAGACTGAGCCAGGACAGGCCATTCATATGGAAAAGCCGCTGCAAACAGCTTGGATGGGACTGCAAATTGGATGGGACAGGGTCTCAGGGAATCACCAGGGCAGATAAAACAGTGAGCCAGGCTGATGGAAACTCAGGTACGACCGTCGGTCAGCTCTGCGACGGGGGAGGTCTCAGCATAGGAACAATGGCCCCTACAAGCACCTCTGTCTAGGAGAGAGCCACCCCCAAATTCTTGCTCTGATGCCAGACAATACAGTTCCTCCCCATATGTCCCTGGATCCCCCGAGCCATTGCCTCAGTGCTGGAGCTCAGAGGGAGCAAGTCCATGTAAGTTGGTGTGCCAGCCCTTTAAGAGGAACTGCCTGGGCCTCCAGCAGCCTCTGGCACACTCAGCCACAATCCCTGCTAGTTTTTACAGCCTGAAGTTATGGGGACTTCTCTTCCCAGCTCTGGAATGCTGGGCTGGGGACCTGGTGTGGGGCTAGGACCCCTTGCTCCTCCTGGGAGGCCTCTGCAGCCAATATGTCCCTCCTGATTGAAAAAAATGCCACACTGGGTGTCAGACCAGCCCATTTCATGCCTCCCTTCTACCAGTCTCCGTGTGCTTTCTTCTTTACTTCTCTAGTTGTAGCACTTCCATTCAGCCAGCTTTCAGGAGGTTCTGAATGATGGTTGTTCCGTTTTTCAGTTGTATTTTGATGTGGTTGTGGGAGGTGGTAAGTACTGGCATTTACCTACACTGCCATCTTGGTTCTCCCTTAACTTTTCACTTTGAAACAATTTTAGACTTGGAAAAAGTTGCAAAAAAAGCACAAAGAACTTCACATGCCCTTTACTCTGCTTCCCCAGTGTTCACATAACTGCAGTATGGCCTACAGATGAGGAGAATCAGTGTGGGTACAATACCTCTACTGACCTGAGGGCCTTACTCAGGTTGAGCTGGTATTCCCACAGACACCCTTTTTGGATGAGGATCCCACATTGCATTTAGTTGTCATGACTTCTAAGTCCTGGAACAGGTCGTCGGTTTCCTTTCCCCCCACTCTTTCATGACCCTGACACTTGGGAAGGCTCCTCGACTGTTAGTTTGTGGGCTTCCTAAGGCTTGCCTCCTCATGATTCCATTTTCTCTTTAAGGATAAAATAAGGTTTTATTTATAGTCTTCTAGTAAAGGGGACTGATTTGATTTTCATTTTGCATTTTTGCTAGGAGCACCGCAGGAGTGTTGTGCTGCCCTTGGAGCATCCTATCCGGAGTGCAGGGTGCAGTCTACCTCAGTCCTGGTGGTGTGAATGTGCAGCTCCTAGGCCAGCGGTTCTCCACCTGTGGGTCGCGACCCCTTTGGCGGTCGAACGACCCTTTCACAGGGGTCGCCTAAGACCATTGGAAAACACATATATAATTACACATTGTTTTTGTGATGAATCACTATGCTTTAATTATGTTCAGTTTGTAACAATGAAATTGGGGGTCACCACAACATGAGGAACTGTATTAAAGGGTCGCGGCATGAGGGAGGTTGAGAACCACCGTCGTAGGTTCTCCCTCACCAAGTTTTTAACTTTGATGCTGAGTCAACACCCTATTTCTCATTGTTCTTCCACTAATTTTAGCCACCATTGCAGCAGCTTCCCCGAAATAACTGTTACAATGATGTTTGCCCGTGATGATCTTCTGACTCCATTATTTCTACATTTATTAATTGGAAACCCAGTGCAAGAAAAAGTGCTCCCTTCTCCAATTATGTATTTATTTGGCTTTTTATATTTGTATGGATTCAGGGATATTTAGACTATTCTATAGGTTATGACCCATTCTTATCATTATTATGTTTCCCCTTTTATTTTTCATTTACGGTTGACATTATCATTGTTGATTTTGTTGCTCAAATTGTTCTAGATTTGGCCATTTATAACATCTTCAGGTTGGCTTCTGTGTGCTTTCAACACATTCCTATTATACTTTGAGCATGTCCTCACTTCTGGCACCAAAAGATATTCCAGATTCACCTGGTACTTAGCTTGCCCCAGATCTGGGAGCATCTATTTCTCCAAAGAGCCCTGGTTCCCTTTGGAAAGTGGGATTTAGAAGCTAAGGATGTTTGTTGATGCTGGGGTGCCATTACCTCTAGGCCCTTCACAGTACTTTTTACTGGCTTGGCTCTGATGAGAGTATCAATAATAGGCTCCCATGACAATACCTGAAACAGCACAGATGGTGACTATGTTCCCTAGAACATAAATTCTTTTCTGAAAATCTAAGCTGTGTTTGGCTTTTGCGTGGAGGTATTGAAGAATGGGACAGTTCATAGATGTACCACATTCCGAGCATAGTCTGTGTGATTCTCTTACTAAATGTTCAAATTTGCTATCCCTATTCAAATATAGAATATATTTTATGTGATGAAAGTGCTGAGGGTGCTTCTGGATGGTCAAAGTCTTGTATTTTAAGATGCAGATGCACATCCCTCTGAACAGCCCGGTCATGTTCTGTTCTGATGAGTGTTTCACAGAGCTGTCTCGTTCAGGGTCTCCAAAGAGCTATAGAAATTGAGCCATTTGAGTAATAAGCTTTATGTTTTTCCTCCTCTCCGGACCTGCCTCTTTGATATTCACTGCTTTGAGAGTTCTATCCCTGTGTTTCCATTGCTGCTCTAGCCGTTATTCTGATGAAAATCCGAATTCTAGGGAAGCAAGGTTGACGTCGATGCACAGATAAGAGCTGTGAAGAATACTTGATGGGTCACAGCGGTCCCCTTTCTCTGGAAGTGTCTGCGTCGTACAGAAGGCTGCCTTGTTTTAACCTCTGTGCTTTTACCATGGGCTTGTTTTCCAGCATGGGAAAGACTTTGAAGCAATCCAGAACAACATAGCTCTCAAGTATAAGAAGAAGGGCAAGCCCGCCAGCATGGTGAAGAACAAAGAGCAAGTGAGGCACTTCTACTACCGCACGTGGCACAAGATCACCAAGTACATCGACTTTGACAATGGTGAGCGTTCCGGGCTGTCTCTGGGGAAGCTGGGGGCGGGGTGGGAATCTGGTCAGGAGCAGTTTTTGAAAAATCACAGGACATTCTGGTGTCATTCTTGCCCAGCCACTTTTTAAAAAATATATTTATATTAATATAATGTTAATGTATTAATATTTATTTTTAAATATACGTTCATATATATTTAATATTAAGAAAATAAACTAATTCAAGTGATGCCGGGGAAAATTTAAAGTGAGACGTCTGTCTGCTGTTCTAGTCTTAACTTAAGTATGACAGTCAACTTACTTTATTTTGGAAGAGGAGATGTAAAAGTTTTTTTCAGTCATTCAGCAGGCAAGTATAGCCACTTAAAAAAATAGAAGGGTGGGGACAGAGTAGGATATGAAAGTCAGAGGTGAAAGGGTAGAGCCAGAAAGAAATTTTCAAAATAAAATTAACAAGGTGACTGTTCCAGAAGAGGGCTGTGAAGAGGACATGGTGGATCAGTCTGTTGGTCAAGTAATGATTCAACTTTTAAATTATCCTCTTGTTTTTTGTTGGGTTTCTTCTTTGTTCAAATCTGAGACTTAAAGATGTTGACCCTTTGTTACAAGAGCCAACAGGAAATACAGGATCCCTTCCCTCCCTCGGCCTGCCTCCGCTGAAGCCACCAACCATCGCCTCCGTGGCTGGATGCTGGAAGAGTCCTCCATGTATGTGGACTCAGGACGACAGGGCAGCCCCCTGTGGTTGCTGGGCTTGTGAACGCTGCAGTGCCTTTGGCTTTCCACATCTCTAACATGTTTCCCAACTATTTTGTGTACGTGGCTCAGTGCGCTCTCCTCTTCGCTTTACGGGTTTCCACTTGATATGAGGGTGTAATAGCAGCTTCTTCCATGGCTGTGATGTTTTTTTCTTGCCATTTAAAGTCGTTAATGGTCTTGTGAATGGTCTGGAAGAGCTGCTGGCCCTCCAGAGAGACGCCAGCGCTGACTGCATGGGCCTGGCTCAGTTTTCCTCCTCTGTCCATGCTTTGCTGGCAAGTTTACTAACACTGGGTGATGCTAGGGGAGGAGGAGTTTCTGTTGGGTCATTAATTATTTCCACTTTTGAAACATATTATAACTTTATGACCAAGATGTCTACATGCTTGGGCTTTCCACTAGAAGAGGGACATTTTAAAGCTAGCATTTTGGATTGGCAGTCGAAGGGTATTGCCCTGCCCTGAAGCCGCTGCTCCTGGCATGTCTGGCAGGACACCTGGCCCCTAATGCTGAAGTATTTGCCCGGAGGAGCCACCATCTTGGGAGAGCAGCTGTGGCTGGTGGCAGCTGCCCCGGGCAAAAGCCGGGCACCCGGTGAGCACTGCCACGCTGGCCAGGCCAGTTTCACTTTCTTTAATCTTACTCTTCGTTTCTACAGTTTTGGTCATGGGCCATTCATTCCAGACATTTGCTTTTACTGACTTCACTTCTTTCTGATGCTTCTCTTCAAATAATACTTTTGATCCAGAATATGAGCCCTGGCTGGTGTGTTCAGTGGTTAGAGTGTAGCCCTGCGCAAGGAAGGGTCTCACGTTCAATTCCTGGTCAAGGGCATGTACCTGGGTTGCACGTTGATCCCTGGCCCCTGTTGGGACGCATGCAGAAGGCAACCAGTTGATGTGTTTCTCTCACATTGATGTTTTTCTCTCTCCTCCCCTCCCACCTTTCTTCCCTTCCACTCTCTAAAAATCAGTGGAAAAAATATCCTTGGGTAAGGATTAACAGAAACAAAAAACTGTGATAGCTGCAGTCAGATCACTCCCCCTTTGCACCTGTGCTGTGAGTCCTTCGTGGCAGCCTTCTCTCCCTCTCAGTCCCCTCTCTGCCCTGCCCTCTGGTGTTCTCCTGGCCTGGTCAGTGTGTGTTGGCCAACTGGAGTAATCAGGATGCCAGGACCAGGACTCCCTCCTCCAGCTTTAGAAAGACCCGGAGAGCTTGGATCAGGCTGTCTTTTTTTGGTAAAGGGTCAGATGATAAATATTTTTGGCTTTTGGGGATTTACAGTCTTTATTAAAATGACTTCACTCTCCTGTCTTAGCTCATTGTAGATCCCATGTAAAGGAATGCATGTTACTGTGTTCCAGCAAAACGTTTATTTACAGGAAGAGGCCCCGGGCAGGATTTGGCCTGTGACCCTGCCCTGGAGAAATTTGTTTGGGGGACGCAAGCTCCAGGCAGTCCTAGTAGTTAGCTGACACTTTCTCTATAGATTTCCCTTTGCATCTTCATGGGCATCTCACCCACCAGTCATGGTTTCGCTGGGTCTACCTCAGCTTTTCAGACCTGTCCTCCCCACCTAGTCCCCTCGGTCCTTTTCTAGGTCATTGCTGTTCTCGCTCTTTCTGGTCTTGTTCTTCCCCAACCCACCCTCCACATAGCTTTATCCACACAATAAACCCATGTCTGCCTGTCCCCCGCCTGAGCCCCCCCTCCCCATGCCCTGTGCCATACCCTCATCCTACCTGCCTTGGCTCCCAGGATGGGGTTGCCACCCTCCTGCTAGCCTGCACTTCCTTTGGTGTCTTGACTCCTGCCACCCCTACTCTGTTGTGCTCCCTAACCCCATTCACCTTCCAAGACTCAGCTCCTATGTCAGTGCTCTCAAAAATCCTTCCGTGAATTCTCGTGCCCTCACTGCCACCTCATCATCTCATCATGGGCCTACTTTGTGCCCATCATTGAGCACATTTTATACTTTTCCCTGGGAGTGCTGTCACACTGCAGATGAGAAAAACCCTGGCTTAGCATTGGAGGCCCTGGCCCAAGCCACCCAGACAATCAGCTGAGGAGCTGTGCTCCATCAGCCATCATCCACTGACCTTTATCTTCTGTAAATGTAATGTTTTCAGACCATCTCTTCATGTTGCCATAGAATTTCTCCATGTTTTCCATGAAATGTTAATTCTTTGAGTTGACGTTTTTAAATGAATAAACTTTACCTTTCCTTTTGGACTTACAATCCACTTCTAGTGTTTTTAATTTATTTTTTAATGAGTTACTCTTTTCTTTTTAAAAAATAATTAATTTTAGAGAAAGAGAGGAAAGGGAAGAGAAAGATAAAAACTTCCATTTGTTGTTCCACTTATTTATGCAGTCATTGGTTGATTCTTGTATGTACCCTGACTGGGGAGCAAACCTGTTGGGCAACCTTGGCATAGCAGGACAGCGCTCTAACCAGTGAACTACTCGGCCAGGCCACTTCCAGTGTTTTTAAATAATGCAAATGTGGACATCTCTTTTCATACAGCCCTTTGTCCTTCAAATGTACTTCCTTTAGGTAACCTCGTACAGTTGGGATAGCTAAGTCTGTGTGGCACACGGGAATTAGTTTTAGCTCTTTGGCTCTTTCTCTGTTGTCTTTTACATCATTCTTTTTGTTTGTTTGTTACATATATTATTTAGTTACTTTCTGAAAGTCAGTCTGTCTCATCTTGAGCGTCTTGTCATGAGCGCTGTCTTCTGGAAGGATGAATGTCCAGCCTGCTGGCCTGGTGTCCGTCTGCTGCTTGCCGTGTTTCCCATCTGTCTGTCCGTGATAAAGGCAGGAAGGAGCACCTGGCACTCCAGTGCGTTCTTCTCACAGCAAGTTCCATCTTCACAGCAACACCCCATAGAAAGAGCCTTTTCTCTGCTGAGCTAGTTTATGGCTCCAGCAGGTCCTGTCTGGCCAGGCATGCCTTGTTTATCGCTAGTCATTTTAAGGTATTTTTCCGGTGTCAAAGCCTTCCACTAGCTGCCTCATGCTGTCCTCGTTCCAGTCCTTGCAGAGGACGGGTCTCGGGGTTTGCTGTCTGTGACCAGGAGACTGCCTTGGAGGAGGGCTCACCATCCCAACTCCAGTTCCTCTAGTTGCAGGGGCCTCCTAGCCAGCCTGTTATCTTTGTGGGGGAAACACAACACAAACAAAACACTGTATCGAAGACTTTTAACAGCATATCTGTTTGTGAGATTGCCACTTTCTGCAGACCCACGGAAAGGGGCCGTCGGTGTCCACTTTTGGGGGGCAGTGCCTAGGTTTGACTCGGCAGGTCCTTCACTAATGTTTCTATTGGTTTGCTTTCGGTGTCCACAGACCATTAACATACGATGCTCTGCTGGCTTTGGTGTATTGTGGCAAGTGAGCAATGCTTTGTTCTTCCTCAGGTTGGCAGCACAGTGTCTGTGTCTGTGCTGTGCTCAGCCGTAGTTGTCACTGTTTCTCAGATCACCAGCTTATTTGAAATATCAACGCTGGTCGGGATCCTGCTGAGTCCAGTGCTGTTACTAATAGCTGTGGTCTTCACAGACAACCTCCCTACCTTTCTGGGTGTCACTCAGGAATAAGTTTTAGCTGTTTGGCTCCTTCCAGGTTGTCTTTTACATCTTTCTTTTTTTGTTACATATCGTATTCTTGGGTGACTTTCTGAAGGAGTGCAGGCCCTTCATCCACTTGGGCTCCCCTGGGAAAGCTCTCTTCCAATGAGAAAGGCGGTCACCAGTGTGTGAGGATTGGGAAGCTGCTGGTGATAAAGTGTGGAGGCAGGGTGAGAAGACTCCAGGGGCTGTGAACTAGCATGTTCGGTCCTTTCAGCGTGACCATGCTACTGGCAGAGTGGGCGTGTTGCTGGGGACGCTCAGATTCCCAGTGTGGACGTGAGCCCTCTTCAGCCCTTCTTCCGGCTCAGGGATGAAGAGAGGATGCGTGTGCTGCCCTCAAGTTCTGTTCCCACGCTGCACCTTGGGCCAGGCAGCAAGCTCTGCAGGATAGACCCAACACGTCTGTCTGTCTGTCTGTCTGTCTCCCTCCCTCCCTTCCTTCGTGTTTCCCTTTCTTCCTCCTCTCCATCTCCTGCCTTCCTGGCATCTCATAATGTCTGTTTGCTGGTGTTGTCCTGATGTGCCCTCACGAGGAGTGCCTTCTTTCTGTTGAGCTGATGGCTCTGCTGGGGTTCTCCAGCTGGTCCTGATAATGTCTCTAAGGTGGTGCCAGCCAGTTGACCATGTGAAGCCCACGGGCCCATCTGCCTCTCTGTGCTGTCCTGGCATTTGCACCAGGGCTTGGCCCTGTCTAGCCATTTCTCAGCCCCTCTCCCAGCCCTGGATTTCTGCCTCTGGATTTGCCTATGCTGGACATTTCATGTAAAAGGAATCACGTGGCCTTTGTATCTGGCTTCTTTTACTTAGGATGATGTTTTCCAGGTTCATTCAGGTTGTAGCATGTCAGAACTTCATTCTTACGGGTGAATAATATTCCATTGTCAGGAAAGAATGTATTCGTTTATTCATTGAGTAGTGGATCTTAAGGTGTCCTGAGTTTTGGTCCCCTGTGAGTCCGATGAGATCTGTGAGTCTTTCAGGAGAACGTTCCAGAACGGTTAGTGTGTGAAGTTGGCAGAGTCCTCGGCTCCTTAGAGCCTGTCGAAGGTTCAAAATCCTTGTTTTAGATTATTTATTGCAAGACTTACTCTTCATTTGCTAATATATTTTTCTTTTCCTTTTCTGTGATTATACTCACACACAGCTGAATGTTAGGACTTTGAAAAGGGGTCTCTGAGGAGGAACAATTGTGAGGGTGAAGGACAAATGACATGGGTTCCTGCTCTGAGATAATCTAAAACAGTGGTTCTCAACCTGTGGGTCACGACCCCTTTGGGGGTCGAACGACCCTTTCACAGGGGTCGCCTAAGACCATCGGAAAACACATATATAATTACATATTGTTTTTGTGATGAATCATTATGCTTTAATTATGTTCAATTCGTAACAGTGAAATTGGGGGTCACCACCACATGAGGAACTGTATTAAAGGGTCGCGGCATTAGGAAGGTTGAGAACCACTGATCTAAAAGGTACACAGACTGTGCTGTAGCTGGGCTTCCAAATCACAATTAGATTTGGCTTCACGGAATACAAAAACTCGGGAAGCCGGGGCTGAGACAGCACCGCGCGGCGGCCCCGGGGTCCCGTTAGAGCAGCCCCTGGCGGCTATGCCGAGGATCCGGAGCGTCGGCGGAGCAGAGGGTCCGGCGGGAGAGAGGAAACCTTCCTGCAAGTGCTAGCCAACCGGCAGACCCGGCTGAATGCTCGGACTGGGAAAATGAAACTGAGGAAGCAAGATGAAGGGCAGGTATGTCCCCTGTGCAGCCGCCCCCTGGCAGGGTCGGAGCAGGAGATGAGTAGGCATATGGAGCATTGCCTTTCTAAGAGGGAAGGCTCCTGCATGACTGAGGAGGATGCTGTGGACATCGAGCATGAGAACAGCAACTGCTTTGAGGAGTATGAGTGGTGCCGGCAGAAACGGATATGGGCCACCACTCTCCTCGAAGGTGGTTTCCGAGGCTCTGGCTTCATCCTGTGCAGCGGCAAAGAGAATCCGGACAGTGACGCTGACTTGGGGATGACACTCTGGAGTACGGGAAGCCACAATACACGGAGGCTGACGTCACCCCCTGCGCAGGCGAGGAGCCTGGTGAAGCCAAGGAGAGAGGCGCTCCGGGGTGCAGTCCTAAATGGCGGCCCTCCCAGCATGCGCATCACACCTGAGTTCTCTAAATGGGCCAGTGATGAGATGCCATCTACCAGCAACGGGGAGAGCAGCAAGCAGGAGGCCATGCAGAAGACATGCAAGAATAGTGACATCGAGAAAATAACCGAAGATTCAGCTGTGACCACATTTGAGGCCCTGAAGGCTCGGGTCAGGGAACTTGACCGGCAGCTATCCCGTGGGGACCGCTACAAATGCCTCATCTGCATGGACTCATACTTGATGCCCCTAACGTCCATCCAGTGTTGACATGTGCACTGTGAGGAGTGC